ATGACCGCACCAAACACATAGAGGTTCATATTCACTATGTCCGTGACTTGGTTCGGGATGAGATTATTTAGCTACACTACATTTCGTCCGAGGATCAGGTCGCCGATCTTTTCACCAAGCCTTTCAATACTGCCCGTCACTGGTTTTTGAGTTGCAAATTGCTGCTCCGGGAGGTGCATCAATTTGGTGGAGGATGTTAATGCATGTATACGTGCATGAAGTTCTGGGCCTGTATATGTTGGGACGTAAATTTATGTATTGGGTTTTGGGGTTTTGTTATGGGTTTCGGGGCTGCCCATGCAATTGTATAAGGAGTCCTACGTGGATTAGGAGCTAGGGTTAGAGTTGGAGATGTACCTTACCGAAGACTATATAATAGTCTCTTGTAATCGAGCTAAAGGTATATGAAATAAGAGTATCAGCCGGAGAGTACTGACTCTCCCGTGGACTAGTCCCAATTTCTTGGGAAACCACGTAAATCTGTGTCTCGTGTTATCGTTCTTGCTTGTTTTTTTGATTCAGGTTCACGTTCCTAACATAACTATCTTGGTTAGAATTAATCCAAACATAAAACATTGTCGCTTTTTATACCGTGTATAATTTTATGATAGACCTAGTATATATTTAATATCCATCGATTAAGTGCTGAGTATTTTTACTTAAAAAAATATTAGTGATGTTCAACACATAATTATTCACTAGGTAATTAGTGGTTAGTTGACAAGTTAGCCCATAGGGCAAACTTTCGTAGACCAGCATCCGTAGACAAGTTTGTTGCACGTCCTAGTGATCGTGAGTGGTGGTTGACGACGGACCATACCAAATATAAAAGACTTCATTTTGATTTCTATGTATCGCTTAGTCTCTTGTGTGATAGATGAATTTTTGTGTGTTGCCATTTAATATTAATATATATATATAAATAAGAAGTTCACTTACTGTTGCCTAAATTTGTAAGTTGATTGGCGGTTGTACATTTGATAGTTTGATACTCCAAATTTAATTAAATTACAACTTAGTCACTATAATGTACATTTGACAGTTTGATATCCTAAATTTAATTTTAATGTAAAATTATTGAACAATTATATTTTTTTAATAAAAAAACAACCTATCTCTGCTTCATTACAGCTTCAGGGTTTGGCTTCAAGTATCCACTTCAATTCCTCTTCAATCATTCCAACTAGCTTACTTGGAGGGACAAATAACAGCATCATGAGTTCTGCTGCAACGCTCACGCCACATATAACTAATACAAAGAGACCATCGTAATCTGCCTTCACTTGCAGTCCTTGTACTGATGGACCACTGTCTTACTGCCCAGCTCATACCTACTATTTTTAAAATTTATATATTGGTCCAATGTTTAGATTTCACTTGAATCCATGAATCCAATCCACCAATTCTTTTGAATCAATCCATGAATCCAATTCACCAAACAAAAAAAAATTGTTTGTACCAAACAAGATGTTGTATCACTCTGTAGGAGAAGATTTGACCATTTTATAGTTGCTAATTACATGAAACATTAAATAAATGATAAAAGAGAGATGACTCTAAAATATTGAAAGAGTGATTTTATAAACTCATTTAATACATTTACGAGATACTAAACAAACTTCTACTAACTACATGTAACAAAATAGGGGACATCTATATAAGCAAGTGTCAATAAATTGCTACTGTGATTATGAACGGGTCTAATCACAAGTATGAACGGGTATGTATTTTAATCACAAGTATGAACGGGTCCATACAAGACTTACCAACAGTCTAGAGAATTAATAAGTGAACCATGAACCACAAACTTTTTCAGCTCATTGTCGAGTACAATTAAAAATAAATTTATATGGTTATTACTTATTAGAAAGTAATCATTTTCCACTATGCGATTTGAAGACGTGAAATTTTAAACGAGTTCCAGTTTGTATTCATTTTGCTTCTCCCTAAAGTATTATTTCACCCGAGCTAGAATTTTCAACAATTATACATGGAATGTTTGGCTAGGTATCTACATATATCAAATATTAGTTTCCATTTTTCTATAAAAAGTAAATAATTATCATTTTAAATACATCACCATAAAGGAATTAAGCCTCAGGTATACAAATTTATTTTTTGGATTTTTAACCTAAATTTTTGTGTATGACATTTTGGTTCCTAAATTTATTTTTTTGGCAGATAAGTCCTCAAAATATTGACGGAACATTACATTTTAGTATCTAAAATTTTTGTGTATGACATTTGGTTCCTAAAATTTTTTGAAGTTCTACAAATATGTCTAATTTTTGTATGTGTAATTAAAACACCCTCGAATAAATGGGTATTCATACCCAACTCATACACATTTAGATTATGAAAATAAATATGCATACCCTACCCAAACCCATCTACAAACTTGCAAACTCATATATACGTCACACATATCCTACCCATAATCAATGGGTCTACTTGGGTTTAGATAAATATAATTTATTAGCCTAAATTTTCAAAAATATTTAAATAGGATGTTGACTGTCATATATGTCTTCTCAGTCAATATTACTGTCAAGTCAATATTACTAACAAAACTGCTAACAAAAATTAATTTTCATACTAATAATACTAACAAAACACAATACCGGACCACATAATATATGCTCAAAGGCCATCTCCGCCACGCGACAAGGCGCGACATCGCCACCTAGTAGTTTATTCAAATTGAAGAAACAATATATGTCCATCATCTAAGCTAAAATTCTCATTTTGGTCCATACTCGACTATACTTATTTAACACATAATGGATTGTCTGCTGCTGTTGTTATGCAGGTCTTTGGTAGGAGAAGATTTTTCAGAATGTGAAGCCAAGCTTCAATGACGTTTCTTTCCACCTTATTCGCAGCACCAAGTTAACTCTCTTTGAGTGTTTGCTCATTTACATGGATGCGTAAACATAAATAATATCAAATACTCAATGAAGAGTTTTATGTATAGTGACCTCATCACATATATACGAGAAAATCTTGAGTGCACCGGGTGTACCACCTCACCCATGCACCGCCCCAATAAAATCATGCCACGTGTTTATATGATTTATATATCATTAATTAATACTCCCAGGAAAAGAATAGCGGAGTAAGAGAGGCGAATCCTCCGCCGCCGCCATCGACATCCTCTGCGACCTCGAACTGTCCGGGCTCTATTGACGACAAAATCCCCCAACAAAGGAGAGATCAGCTATATGCAAATGAAGCACCAAGGCTGCTTCATATGGTGCAGATCGGACCGCGATGGATTTGGAAGGGCTCCGACGTCTGGGTTCGTGAAAGAGGCTAAAGAGGTTGATCGGATAATAGGAATCAAAATACAAATAAGAATTGAATTTGGTGCTGGATTAGTGCAAATCATGAAGACGAGGTTGAGTTCGACGGTGGACGAGAGCCGTCCATGAAGTTGGAACAAGCTACGGACCCCGGAATTACAATCAATGTCTTCTACAACGGAAGACTTCTTCTATATGCCCATCAAGGCCATCTTTGACTCTTGAGATCATAATCACTAGAGATTACACAGAGCTCCAAGAAATAGATATAAAAGTTTAAGTAGATAACCATCGTCGATTATGAAGGTGTCGAGCTCCAGCAAAGGCTTAGAGGGGATCCGCCTTTCTCATTCTGTCGCTATTCTTTTCCTGGGAGTATTAATTAATGATATAAATCATAAACACGTGACATGATCTTATTGGGGCGGTGCACGGGTGAGGTGGTACACCCGTGCACTCAAGATTTTCTCCATCACATACACTCTCAAAAGAGTCAAGATGGTAGTAGATTTTCTTAAGTTTCTTAAGCTCCTCAATGTATTTAGGTAATTATCCTATTTCCTTATATGCATCATTAATGAGCTGCTTGTGCTAGAAGAACATTAGGGTTTATGGTGTCGTAAAATTACTTATTATTATAGGTGTCATTTGCACTAAAAGAAATATTCTTGTTTGTAAACATCCTTTTATTTAATAAAATCTTATGTCTATGTGCTAAAAGAGTCATTGTTTCGCATTTCATATACTATTGACTTCGTGAGCGTCATTTGTGCTAAATAATGATTCATGTATTTTCACATCCGTGTACGTAATGAGATATTATGTTTGCATGCTAAAGAACAATTCCTTCTTTGTGCAGTTCATACACTATCATTTTTGTACTCGTCATTTGTGCTAGAAGAACGATTCCTCTATTTGCACATTCTTGTACTTATGAGATTTATGTCTTTGTGATAAAACAAACAATTCTTTCTTTGCGCATTTCATACATTATCGATATACTTATCGTATGACATTCTTACACTTTACATAACCCTGGTCCCTCTCCGCTTCTTACACTTAAGAAAACAACTCATCTTATAACATTCTTTGGCTTTACATATATCCAATTGTTCTCTTCTTCTAATATTTTAGAAATCAGAACAAAAAATACATAATTTTTTGTCTATAGTATTAATTTTCAATTTTTTGGCTTTAATATTGATATATGTAAAGATGTATTATCAATCTTCTTAGTCTAACATTTCGCCATGAGAAAAATAAATAGACATCTCTACTTTTTTTGAGTTGCGAACCTTGGAGTGGTTTGGGTACTGGAATTTAACATTGTATTTTTTTATTAATTAATATAATATACCACATTATTAGGTTTTTTAGACCATCTCATAATTATTCATTAATAGAGAAATTTGAAAGAGAAAGTAGAGAGTTAACAATTTCACGAGACATTGTGTGTCTATTGTTTCACAAATGAATAATTGATCATAACATAACATTATCAAAACTATTACCCAATTGCCACAATATAAATGGCCTCTTCGTCATAAACATGAAAGCTAAACATGGGGAAATAGTTTTTTTTTCTCATTTAATTCCTTAATATACCATACAATTTTTTTTGGGTCGCATCATTAACAAAGTTCAACATAATATATAATATGCAAAATAAAGAACGATAATTGATGATCAATGGTAGCATCAATGCACTAGAGATGAAGAATTGTTGGTATGAGGTAGAGTACTAGTAGTAGCGATGACATTGTTATCACTAGTATTAGCATCACAACAAGTTGGAGCGCAACCACAAGTGTGTTCTATACACGAACAAACTTGGCATCCATCGCAAAATGGTGTATTTTCACACTCTTCCACTTTGTTGCATTTTCCAGAAACTATGGGTCCCCTCCCTTCCGCAAACCTCATTTCCAACCCTGCAACAATGACACACACTATTAGTTTTAGTAAATTAAGAAATGATTTATATTTTGTTAAAAACTAAATTGTGTCGAGTAGGAAATATAGAAGCCATGTACTCAAGTATATTATTATTCTACATACAATGGAGGAATTTTAGAATGTTATATAGTATTGATGCTATAGGTTTTTGTCTTTATGGTACAACTTGAAATTGTATATTTAACGTTATGGTACAACTTTAGATTATACCTATACTGTTTGTACAAATTTTTTTATCATACAACTTGAACTTGTACCTTTATGTGATGGTACAACTTCAAGTTGTAAAGTTGTACCATAACATAATGGTACAAATTCTTTTATGGTACAATCTAAACTTATACATTTCATGTTATGGTACAACTTTAAATTGTACATTAAAACACCAATACTATATAGCATAGTAGAAATGCTCCATACAATATATGCATATATGTGATTTTTTCAATACAACTTAGATAGCAAAACCAATTGATCTTACCCGCTACGAAAATCAAGAGAGTGAAAAAGAGAGCTAATTTCATCATAATATTCGTTTCCATGTCTTGTGGTATGACTTCTTTATCTCCCTTCTCTCGCCTCCATGTTCTTGATGTGGTTGATTTATATAAGTGAATTTAGGTCTCTTAAAATGGTTACATCTTTATTAGTTGTAACGCATAATAAATTCCATTGGCTTAACAAAAGAAGATTTTTCTTTGTATGTATGGTAAAGAAAGAATTATTCCCATTCCTTCACTAATATGGTCCTCAATACTGATTTGTTTCCCTTTCTTTTTTCCATAAGTACTGTTTTCTTGGCCAAGTTCATAACCTATTTTATATGCATGTATTGGTTTAAATGTGCTTCCTTTCTTATATAAGAGCTTCAAGTTCTCACTAAAATCAAATATTCCTTTTATATTTATTTGATTTGTTGTTAATCATTTTGTTGTTCAATGTTATGTATATACTTCAAGTATCGCCATTCCCCTTGAACAATTAGAAAATAGTGAACTTGACACTTTAAGGGCTCACTATTGCCATAAGAACAAGTTTAACTATGAGATACTTGCGTATTGTCGAGATTGGTATTTTTTGCGCTTTTAGGGAAGTCATTTGTTCTTTTTTTCATAGATATCCCCGAAGTGAAGTAATATAGATACAACAATACACAAAGACTAGTATGGCCAAGACTAGGATATTGAAATAAGAAAAACACGATGGCCTAGTAAGGTCAGGACTAGGAACAATTCCTTTCCTTACATATTTTCTACTCAATATCATCTTAATACTTCTATGGTCTCGTCGTAGCACTGTTGATGTAGTAGATTTTGAAAATGGGTATTTAACAGTCCGTTTCATCTCACGAGAGGATTATGATAGAGCTTTGTTTGGAGGCCCCAAGCTGATTGGTAAACAGTAGACTCTAACAACTGAATGGCTCCAAGATCTTGACCAGGATTGCGTCAAAGTTAAAGGTCAGGTTGCCAAGATTGTTGATGGGCTACAAGAGGTGTGACTCGCTGTTACTGTCACTCTAGAAAATGGCCAAGTGTAACCACTTCCTAAGCGTGTTTGGGTTTTATTGTCAACCCGGGTCCTAGATGTGATGACTACTCAGTGAATTCGTATTATCTAGCAATGAAACTTTAGTGAAGTTCTAAACTAACAAGCAAGCAAAGCAACTAAACGTTTGTATTCAGGTTAAGAGAGGTCACCCGGATATGGTTCCCCCTAGTCTGCAGTTAAGCCGGATTGTAATTACCAAGTTCGATTTCTATGAAATTATACTGCGGAAGGTTCTTAATCAGTCTGAAGTCTCGACTAAAGGTCTTTAGACCCTCTCAATCTGAGTCTCTAGCTGGCGACTAACCTACACCGGAGTAAACAGATTGAGGCCCTATGAACAAAACCTCCACTACCGAATGGAATTCGGTACAGAATAGTGAACTGGCTCCTCGACTAAAGTCACCAATTCACTACCTTCGATTAAGGATACTCTATCAACCTAGGCAGATATTATCATTCTAGGTTAAAGCAGAAACAACAGGAATTTGATCAGGATTCAAGTCATTCAATCATTCAAACCTCAATCGAATATAATCAAATCATAGAATCAATACTTGGGTTCATACAATCAAACCTAACATACAGATCTAGGGTTTCCCACACCCAGATGAATGGGGGAACTACTCCATGGAGAGAGAAGCAAAAGCAGAATCAGACGCGGAAATCATACTGTGAAGATGGATTTCTGCTCCTGGACGTTGAATCGGCACTTCTCCAAGCTCAAACCAAGCTCCAATGGTGTTGAAGATCGATCTAGGGCACTTGGAGGCTCTTGTTCGTCGCTCTCTCTCTCTAGGAACCGCTCTGTCTCTCAAAAACTCGAATCCCCACTTTTGGCTCGGATTAGGCATTAAAACCGGTTCTCCCCGAGTTGCACGGCCAGGTGCACGGCCGTGCACAACACCATTCTGGCCGTGCACCATGAAACGCACCGTATCAATTATTGTGTCTTCGTCCATCTTGCACGGCCAGGCGCACGGCCGTGCAAGCTTCATGGCCTGCCCGTGCATGGCCTCGGCGTGAGGCGCACGGCCAAATGGCTCAAGTGCACGGCCGTGCAGCCTCCTGGTCTGCCCGTGCACTCCCCAAAAAGCTCGCCCTTCGTCCGTTCTTCGTCCAATCGACCCCAGACTCGCTCCTAAGCCTTCATTCACGTACTAGGACCTGAAATAACACAAACAAGCACAACCTAGCGTGAAATCGGCCTAAAACACGAGAATCAACACCTCAAACGGTGTAAGTATGAGGGTAAAAACATGTGTAAATGACGGTCTATCAAACTCCCCCACACTTAACCGTTTGCTTGTCCCCAAGCAAACCTATCTCAAACCAATGCAACTCTCCAGACCTCTGTAGCAACAAACAACCTCGATCGTAGGTAGAGGACTTCCTAGATCATTTAGCAACTTACGAGGTCAACCGACGCACAAGTCATCTCATAGCTTCTTCGGCGAGAGCACTAGTCTCGAGTCAGCATCATGGCAAACAGTGAACAGAGGACAAATGAATCGTGGATGAGGAGACTCTCAAAAACAAAAGATCATGGACTCACATTTTTCAAGGTGCTCGATTTTCTTCTTGAAGATGGTTGGAACCCCTTTCCTTTCTTCTTTTTGCTTGTTTTTCTGTTTTTCTCTTGTTTTTCAAGGGTTCCAACCTGTTTTTGCAGAAAACGAGGGCTCCCACCTAGCAAAGGTTTTGCGGGAGCCCGGCTCTTACCGGCCATGCCAGGAGCAGTTGTCTCGAGCCTCGTGCGGGGGAAAGACATGTCAGGGGGCTGGAGGTAGTAGGTGGAAATTGGGAACGAATTCCCGTCTCCCCTTACACACTTTCGCCCTATTCGCACGGGAGACGTTATTTTAAAGCACATTTCGAGCACCTGTTACTTTCAAAACATGATACAAGAGTCCATGACAGGCAGAGAGTCCACAACACCACACAATTCAAGAGTCCTAAGATCACTAATTCACTCAATCAACGAACACAATATGAAGAAGAAATGAGACGTCTTAAATGCATCAACATCCTCCATAGTGCTACACTACCTCCCTAGGTTGCAAATCACTACAAAGACTGTCAATTCAAAGCATACTGAGCAGGCAATTGCAAGGAACACGTACTTGGAGCCCTCAAATTTCAAATTTGGATAGTGGACTCGGATCCAAGCACACAAACAGATCTAATGCAGTCAAAAGATAAACATCCCCCCACACTTAAGATCGACATTGTCCTCAATGGAGAAGAGGGAAGGAAAGGGGAACGATGTTACCGGTATGCACGGACTGCAGGAGACTGGAAATGGACCAGTCGGGAACACATCACAGCTCAAGGGGAACAGAAGAGCTCAAACACGATATGTTAGGTCCAACGGTCAGCCCAATAGTACAGTATCCAAAACAAAAGAAAACAAACCAAAACGCAATCCGACTCGAATCAAAACAAATGAATGAAAACCATGGTGGGGTTGCCTCCCCACAAGCGCTTCTTTACCGTCTTTTAGCTGGACGCCCATGGTGGATACTCAGCGAGGTGCAGGATCAGGTGCCTCCAAGAGCGGATCCACGTCGCTCTTGAGGTACAGCTTCAGGTGGTGACCGTGCACCCGACGGTTGCAACCACCAGCATCGGTCAGCTCGACCTGGCCATCCGGCAGGATACAAGCGAGTGAGTACTCGGATGGCCAGGGTAGTCGTGGTGCAGGGGGTGGAACCAGCTCGTAGTGGTCTCCACCCTTATTTCGTGCAGGCCTAGGCACCTGCTGCTTCGGCCGCCACTCCTCCTTGAGCTTTTTGTTCGGTGGTGAGACTGGAGGGAGCGGCGTCGAAGGAGTGAGAGGGGGGTCCTGCAAAATGGAAGGTGCAGAAGGATACACGACAGGCTCGTGTACCTGATCAGAAATAGCATGCACAGGCGATACAGAAATCATAGCACAATGATCAAACTCAGTCACAGGAAAAATAGCATGTTCATTTCCAGCACGCAGGATCAGTTTACCATCATGCACATCAATCAGTGCCTTGGCGGTGGCAAGAAATGGTCTACCTAGAATCAAAGGCACATCCACATCATCATTTATATCCAGAATAACAAAATCAACAGGATATGTGAATGCACCCACATTAACAAGCAAATCTTCTATGATACCCCTAGGATGCACCACGGAACGATCAGCTAGCTGAATGCTCATCCTAGTAGGGCTAAGTTCACCTAGGTCTAGCTTTTTGAACAATTTATATGGCATGACATTAATGCTAGCGCCTAGGTCCGCCAAGGACTTTCCTACATTCATGCTGCCAATAGTAAGAGGGATAGTGAAACTCCCTGGGTCTTTGCGCTTCTCGGGCAGCTTGTTCTGCAGGATGGCAGAACATTCCTCGCTCAGCAGCACTGTCGAGAGATCCCCAAGTTTCTTCTTGTTGGTGCAGAGATCTTTCATGAACTTAGCGTACTTGGGCATCTTCGACAGTGCCTCCACAAATGGTACGCTGATGTTGAGCTGCTTCAACATTGCCATAAACTTGGCAAACTCAGTCTCCAGCTTGTCTTTGTGTAGGCGAGTGGGGAAGGGAAGCTGGGGCACATGCTCCTTAACCACTGGTTGTGGCTTGGGAGCAGGGGCTTCCTTCTCCACCCGCACTTCTGCATCACCGGCTGGAAGTGCTGAAGCAGGTAGTGGTTCCTCCTGCCTGGTCGGGGCAGGATCAGCTGATGTAGGCCTGCCGCTCAGGGTGAAAATGGCATGTGCGGTCTCATGCGGGTCCCGTGGATTAGGGATGGTGGTGGCAGGTAGAGTCCCCGGGGCCCGAGTAGTAATCTGGCGAGCTATGGCGCTAACCTGGTTCTGCAAATCTTGCAGAATGGCACCCTGGTTCCTCTGTCCTGCCTCCAAGGTTCTCTGGCCTGCCTCCAGTGAAGCTATGGTCTGATCCATCCTCGTGATACTTGCCTGGCTGGTGGTCATGAATGCTGCCAAAATGTTCTTCAGCTCGGTTATCTGATTATCGGGAGTTGGCGCTGCTGCTAGCTCGACATACTGACGCTGAGGCTGCTGGAATGGCTGCCCTTGCCTAGGCTGGTAGGGCTGCTGCTGTGGTGGTGGCCCCTGCCTATCCTGGAAGGGCTGCCTCTGCTGAAAACCACCTGCTGGTGCTGGGAAACCAGGTGGCTTGTTGGCGTTGCTGCTCCAGGCAAAGTTGGGATGCTGGCGCCATCCCTCATTGTATGTGTTACTGTATGGATCGAGGCGCCGAACATTGGCGATGAAGGTCAACTGTTCTTGGGGAGTAGAGGACTCCCGCATAGCCTGGCAATCCTCCACCCGATGATTCGGGCTCTCACACCACTGACACTGTGCCACTGGAGGCGCAGCTACACCTCGGCCCGGGAGGAGACTGTTGGGCTGCTTCAAAGTCTGCACCAACTCAGCCACCTGCTGCTCCAACCCGGATCTGGCCTCCATAGCATGCACACCACGGTCCCGGGAATGCCTGCCTCTGCCGCTCTGCCCCCAAGAATGATCGCGGGCAGCCAAGGTACTAATCATCTAGTTCAGCTCGGGTGGAGTCTTAGTGAGAATATCCCCTCCTGGGCATAGAGACTCTATCACCCTCTGGCTGTCTGGGGTGAGGGCACTGTAGAAGTTCCCTACTGTGAAAGCATCGCTGAAGCCATGATGGGGACACTGCCAGAAGTATCCCATGTACCGCTCCCATGCATCACGAAGGGACTCATCTGGCTCTTGGCGGAAGTGAGTGATCTCCCGCTGAATCTCAGTAGTCTTCGATGCCGGATAATATCTGTGCACGAACTTATCCGCCAGATCGTCCCAAGAAGTGATGGACAGTGGGGGCTGGGTCTCCAACCACCTCTTAGCATTCCCCACCAGAGAATGGGGGAAGAGGTGAAGGCGGATTGCATCATCTGGAACACCATTCAGCTTGAACCCGTTCGTCAGCTGCAGAAAACGGGAAAGGTGTGCCCGGGCTTCCTCATCCTTTAAACCATGGAACTGGATAGATGATGTGATGAGTTGAATCCAGCATGGCTTGATCTCGAGGTTGTTTGCTGGGATGGGTGGATAGAGGATGACCGGGCGGATGTCAGCAATCCGTGGAGTGTAGTAGTACTCCAAAGTGGGACCCGGCGGTGGTGGTGGATGCTGATTCACCGGGGGAGCCTGTCGGGCATTCCCCGGTTGTGGGATGTCTTCGCCCTCCATCTCGCGCTCGTCCTCGGTTTCGCTGCTCAAGTGGCCGTCTATGCGCTCTCCCGTAACCAGTCTAGCTCGCTGCTGTCTCCTAAGTTGGCGGCAAGTGCGTTCAAGCTCTGGATCCAACGGCAGTAAACCTCCTGACTGGCTACGGGTCATGCACTACCTGCACACACTCAAGCAAGCAAACCCGTGAAGGCACAAGTGGGACAAAGCAAACAAAGCGAAAAGAAAAGCTAGAGTAACAGAAATCACTTTTCTTCAACAACCTAGCCGTCCCCGGCAACGGCGCCAAAAACTTGACTCGCTGTTACTGTCACTCTAGAAAATGGCCAAGTGTAACCACTTCCTAAAGCGTAGTATAGCGTGTTTGGGTTTTATTGTCAACCCGGGTCCTAGATGTGATGACTACTCAGTGAATTCGTATTATCTAGCAATGAAACTTTAGTGAAGTTCTAAACTAACAAGCAAGCAAAGCAACTAAACGTTTGTATTCAGGTTAAGAGAGGTCACCCGGATATGGTTCCCCCTAGTCTGCAGTTAAGCCGGATTGTAATTACCAAGTTCGATTTCTATGAAAGTTATACTGCGGAAGGTTCTTAATCAGTCTGAAGTCTCGACTAAAGGTCTTCAGACCCTCTCAATCTGAGTATCTAGCTGGCGACTAACCTACACCGGAGTAAACAGATTGAGGCCCTATGAACAAAACCTCCACTACCGAATGGAATTCGGTACAGAATAGTGAACTGGCTCCTCGACTAAAGTCACCAATTCACTACCTTCGATTAAGGATACTCTATCAACCTAGGCAGATATTATCATTCTACGTTAAAGCAGAAACAACAGGAATTTGATCAGGATTCAAGTCATTCAATCATTCAAACCTCAATCGAATATAATCAAATCATAGAATCAATACTTGGGTTCATACAATCAAACCTAACATACAGATCTAGGGTTTCCCACACCCAGATGAATGGGGGAACTACTCCATGGAGAGAGAAGCAAAAGCAGAATCAGACGCGGAAATCATACTGTGAAGATGGATTTCTGCTCCTGGACGTTGAATCGGCACTTCTCCAAGCTCAAACCAAGCTCCAATGGTGTTGAAGATCGATCTAGGGCACTTGGAGGCTCTTGTTCGTTGCTCTCTCTCTCTAGGAACCGCTCTGTCTCTCAAAAACTCGAATCCCCCATTTTTGGCTCGGATTAGGCATTAAAACCGGTTCTTCCCGAGTTGCACGGCCAGGTGCACGGCCGTGCACAACACCATTCTGGCCGTGCACCATGAAACGCACCGTATCAATTATTGTGTCTTCGTCCATCTTGCACGGCCAGGCGCACGGCCGTGCAAGCTTCATGGCCTGCCTGTGCATGGCCTCGGCGTGAGGCGCACGGCCAAATGGCTCAAGTGCACGGCCGTGCAGCCTCCTGGTCTGCCCGTGCACTCCCCAAAAAGCTCGCCCTTCGTCCGTTCTTCGTCCAATCGACCCCAGACTCGCTCCTAAGCCTTCATTCACGTACTAGGACCTGAAATAACACAAACAAGCACAACCTAGCGTGAAATCGGCCTAAAACACGAGAATCAACACCTCAAACGGTGTAAATATGAGGGTAAAAACATGTGTAAATGACGGTCTATCAAGGTGACAAATGGATTAGCTCCATGAATCGGTGGATTGGATTGGTAGATCTATGGATCAAATGGATAGGTTGATTCGTGGAGTGGATTATACGTATTGGTGGATTACATCATGGATCCAAGTGACATCTGCATATTGGACTAATATGTAAATTTTGAAAAGTTTAGGTACTAAAATGTCATAATTAAAAAGTATAGGTATAAAAACATAATTTTCCAATTATTTTTTGTATAAAAAATATGGGCTAATAGTAATACCACTATAACACCCGAACTATCAAAGAAATGTCACTTGTGTCCTATTGTATTCAATATTCCAATCTTGTTACAACGTATGAGACTATGTGACATTTATATCCCGACGCTTTTGTTGACTGTTAAAAATAATGGTTGACCAAACGGTGGTCAAATTAGTGTTGACTTTTGGTGACATGGCAACACACGTAGCAGCCATGTAAATGCCACATCATTCACACATAAATTATTTTCAATTCAAAATTTAATTAGTTAAAGAAAATAAAAAAAAGAAGGGGGAAAAACAAATCGCCGGCGGTGGGCAATTTGAGGAGGCATACAAATCTTCTCTGCCGCCAGAACTCCCCGCGCTGGTCATCATCACCAAAGAGGACGAAAGATCTGGTCGACTAATAGCTTCCCGATTCCCAATCGATTATGTGCCTTAAAAGAAATTGGTTTTACCTGAACTCAAAGCCTCCACAAGTTGGGCTACGACCTTCAATTTCCTCCACCACCATCCTTAATCTTCCATCCCCCCTCGCTCTGCCGCTATCGCTACCGTTTCACTCACATCATCCCCCTCCAATACCTCATGCGCTGTCGGCGAGTGTGCTAGACTGGACTGATTTCCAGATGTTTGACTCATACCCGGATGGCCAGATCCAGATTTGGTGTGAGTGGTGGAGATCTAGAGAGATGAGCGGAGCTCGAAGCAAGAAAAGTAGTTGATTTGAAAGGTCGTGAGAAGATTTGAAGAAAACCCAGATCCACATATTGATTTTTTTTTGTTAGGTGATTGTCGTTGAGAGTCAACAGAACCCCGCTATCCCTAGCGGAGCGAGCGGAGGCGCTGAATCCCTAACGAATGAATCAAGGTGACAGAGGAAGCGTTTATCCTCGACTGAGAACTAGCTTGAAGGGGCAGGGGTGTGGTGTCTTATCGCAGGCTTGAAGATGTCCACCAGAAAAATTGGGAGATGCCAGTATCGTGCTCTGCTCTTGGCGAGCAAGGGTTGAAGACGACGATGAAGATGAGAAATTGGGGCCGAGGGGATGGGGACAAATGAATTGAAGTTATAATAATTTTTATTTTTATTTTGTTAAGTGACAATTGAAAAATAAATCAAAATTGGATTTCAAATTCCATCGCATCAATGCTGATTAGACTTTTTGTTAAGTACTAACGGTCAATGCTGGTCAACACTAACAGAAAAATAGTTTAGGATGCAAATGGAATATGTTGAATAAAATAGGACACAAGTGACATTTTTCGTATAGTTTGGGTATTGTAGTGGTATCAGCCCAAAAAATAAAGTTTAGGTACCAAGCTGTGAAGTATACAAAGTTTGCCAACAATCCATCAATCCAATTGGATTTGGATCAAATGAAAGGGATTTAAATTGATTGGATTAGTTGGATATTTAACTGGATGAATTGGATTAGTGGACAAATTGCCACCTCTATGGGCTACTATGACGCGGAAATATTCAACGACATTGGCAACAAAATTTGCAGAGTAATCAAGATTGACTACAACACTATGAGATCTATTTTGAGATCGACGTCAATAAAATATTGGTATATAAATATCGCCTGAAACACAAGCCCAGGAGGATCGAGTATGAAGTCTTGCGTATTGTTTGCTTTTAATATGAACTATACGGGCATAAAAAGAACACTGGTACCAGAACAATGACATGGGATAACCTGGAAGAAAACTTCTCATCCTTAAGCAATCTGCTATTCCATTTCAAAGAAATGGTTGATGAATTTGGGTCGTGTGGTTGCTAGTTACTAAGGCAAACCCCGGTGAACCCAACTGAAGGAGAAAGTTACACCACTGGAAGCCCTCTAACCATCGATGGTGAGAAAGCGACACTAGAATCTCACCCTTCTGGTTCTAGATTATGTCCTAGACGACGCTATCTGAAGAGGAAAAATAGAAATAAAATAAGAGAAAGAAACTCTAACAGGGAATGGGAGCAACGTTCCAATCAAGGATGTCTCAAACGAAAGAGGTGTTGGTGAGGAAAGAAATGAATCGAAGGGGAAAGTGGGAACAAATTGGTTGGGCTAAAGGACGTGGGCCTGCAAGCCCAACAAAAAGAAGACGCAAGGAAAACCCAAATCCTACCCCCTCAAACCTAACCAACCTTTGTAGCCCTCTCCTGCAAAACCAACAACTCCACATGTTCATAGTGGGAGCGGTTATGATGATTATCGTGGAGTAGTACAAATGGATTAGCTCCATGAATCGGTGGATTGGATTGGTAGATCTATGGATCAAATGGATAGGTTGATTCGTGGAGTGGATTATACGTATTGGTGGATTGCATCATGGATCCAAGTGACATCTGCATATTGGACTAATATGTAAATTTTGAAAAGTTTAGGTACTAAAATGTCATCATTAAAAAGTTTAGGTATAAAAACATAATTTTCCAATTATTTTTTGTATAAAAAATATGGGCTAATAGTAATACCACTATAACACCCGAACTATCAAAGAAATGTCACTTGTGTCATATTGTATTCAATATTCCAATCTTGTTACAACGTATGAGACTATGTGACATTTATATCCCGACGCTTTTGTTGACTGTTAAAAATAATGGTTGACCAAACGGTGTCAAACTAGTGTTGACTTTTGGTGACGTGGCAACACACGTAGCAGCCATGTAGATGCCACATCATTCACACATAAATTATTTTTCAATTCAAAATTTAATTAGTTAAAGAAAATAAAAATAAAAAGAAGGGGGAAAAAACAAATCGCCGGCGGTGGGCAATTTGAGGAGGCATACAAATCTTCTCTGCCGCCAGAACTCCCCGCGCTGGTCATCATCACCAAAGAGGACGAAAGATCTGGTCGACTAATAGCTTCCCGATTCCCAATCGATTATGTGCCTTAAAAGAAATTGGTTTTACCTGAACTCAAAGCCTCCACCAATTGGGCTACGACCTTCAATTTCCTCCAACACCATCCTTAATCTTCCATCCCCCCTCGCTCCGCCGCTATCGCCGCCGTTTCACTCACATCATCCCCCTCCAATACCTCATGCGCTGTCGGCGAGTGTGCTAGACTGGACTGATTTCCAGATGTTTGACTCACACCCGGATGGCTAGATCCAGATTTGGTGTGAGTGGTGGAGATCTAGAGAGATGAGCGGAGTTCGAAGCAAGAAAAGTAGTTGATTTGAAAGGTCGTGAGAAGATTTGAAGAAAACCCAGATCCACATATTGATTTTTTTTTTGTTAGGTGATTGTCGTTGAGAGTCAACAGAACCCCGCTATCCCTAGCGGAGCGAGCGGAGGCGCTGAATCCCTAACGAATGAATCAAGGTGACAGAGGAAGCGTTTATCCTCGAATGAGAACTAGCTTGAAGGGGCAGGGGTGTGGTGTCTTATCGCAGGCTTGAAGATGTCCACCAGAAAAATTGGGAGATGCCAGTATCGTGCTCTGCTCTTGGCGTGCAAGGGTTGAAGACGACGATGAAGATGAGAAACTGGGGGCGAGGGGATGGGGACAAATGAATTGAAGTTATAATAATTTTTATTTTTATTTTGTTAAGTGACAATTGAAAAATAAATCAAAATTGAATTTCAAATTCCATCGCATCAATGCTGATTAGACTTTCTGTTAAGTATTAACGGTCAATGCTGGTCAACACTAACATAAAAATAGTTTAGGATGCAAATGGAATATGTTGAATAAAATAGGACACAAGTGACATTTTTCGTATAATTTGGGTATTGTAGTGGTATCAGCCCAAAAATAAAGTTTAGGAACCAAGCTGTAAAGTATACAAAGTTTGCCAACAATCCATCAATCCAATTGGATTTAGATCAAATGGAAGGGATTTAAATTGATTGGATTAGTTGGATATTTAACTGGATGAATTGGATTAGTGGACAAATTGCCACCTCTATGGGCTACTATGACGCGGAAATATTCAACGACATTGGCAACAAAATTTGCAGAGTAATCAAGATTGACTACAACACTATGAGATCTATTTTGAGATCGACGTCAATAAAATATTGGTATATAAATATCGCCTGAAACACAAGGCCAAGGAGGATCGAGTATGAAGGTTTGCATATTGTTTGCTTTTAATATGAACTATACGGGCATAAAAAGAAGACTCGTACCAGAACAATGACATGGGATAACCTGGAAGAAAACTTCTCATCCTTAAGCAATATGCTATTCCATTTCAAAGAAATGGTTGATGAATTTGGGTCGTGTGGTTGCTGGTTACTAAGGCAAACCCCGGTGAACCCAACTGAAGGAGAAAGTTACACCACAACCTGGAAGCCCTCTAACCATCGATGGTGAGAAAGCGACACCAGAATCTCACCCTTCTGGTTCTAGATTATGTCCTAGACGACGCTATCTGAAGAGGAAAAATAGAAATAAAATAAGAGAAAGAAACTCTAACAGGGAATGGGAGCAACGTTCCAATCAAGGATGTCTCAACGAAAGAGGTGTTGGTGAGGGAAGAAATGAATCGAAGGGGAAAGTGGGAAAAAATTAATTGCGGGAAGAAAGCAACGATGGGATCAAAGAACTCTGGAAATAGGGGTGGAAAACGGGACGGAACGGGTACCCATCCCATTTAAAGCGGGTACCCATTCCCATTTGAAGGAGATAATTCATCCCATGTCCCAAACCCATACGGATAAACGGGTACCCATTACCCGTACGGGACGGATAACGGGTACCCAAACTACCCGTATACACCCGTTCAATATGATTAGACAAACTTCAAAAGACCTGCAGCATGAAATAGGAAGCCACCAGCAGCAACAAAACAAGCCGCCACCACCTGAAACATGAAAACAAGGACTCGAGATAAACAGAAGCATTAATTGAAAAGGCATGAGCAAGGTTGGAACGTTTAGTTTCATGTATAAAGAGGTATTTTCTAGGTAGTTTCAGCATAGAATTTGGAAAGCTTCTTCATATTGATATTTTGTAGATAATCATTACGAGGCATATAACAAGAATGTCTAAGTTTTTGAACATAATATGTGTTACTTACTTTCTCGACATTATTCTAACTGTTTTCAATATGACTAATGCTTTTAAATATATAAAACACAAGAACACAAAGTAAATAACCCACACTAGATCATTAACATTAGTAGGTAAACCATTGTATTTGTATAGTGGATAAATTGTAATGGGTATTACGGGTACCCATACTACCCAAACGGTAATAGCGGGTAACCCACGGGTACCCAATATTGAAATTCTTAATCCCAAGTCCCATCCCGTAATAAATATTACGGGTATTTGGGTACCGTAACCCTCAAAAAAACGGGACGGATATGGGTATACCCAAATACCCCGGTATACCCAAATACCCGTTTCCCGTTGTCCACCCCTATCTGGAAAGGAGAATAGAGTTAAGGGTGGAAAGGACTAAAAAACTTGGTTGGGCTAAAGGACGTGGGCCTGCAAGCCCAACAAAAAGAAGACGCAAGGAAAACCCAAATCCTACCCCCTCAAACCTAACCAACCTTTGTAGCCCTCTCCTGCAAAACCAACAACTCCACATGTTCATAGTGGGAGCGGTTATGATGATTATCGTGGAGTAGTATCCATCATGGTTTCTATGGGCAAATTGGGTATGAAAAATATTTATTAATTGAATTTTTTAATAAATTATATTTTAGGAAGTTACAAAAATTTATGAATTAAAATTCTCTCTCTTTCTCTCACTAGCTTATAACCCGGCCCGTTGGCCGGAACGTTCATATTTTAATATTTATATTTTTATGTTATGTTTAAGTCTATTAATTCGTTTAAGTTTATTGAAAATCATTCAATCGAGATGCTACATACAGAATGAATATATATGTCAAACATTCAGGGAAATACCCTCCTCATTTAAGAATATAAAAATGTATCATTAATCCCATTTTCATAATGATAATTGAGCCCCCATGAAAATGATATTGGTTAATAGATTGTCCAGAAATATAGTTGCAACAACCATAACACCTAAAGATACAATAGTTTCCACTCTCCGTTGTACAACCAACTTTTTATCGCCTCCATCTTCAATCTCTAGACGTATATGTTTTAAACCAAAATTTAATTTATAATCCTCCTTCTGCAACTCCATTTATGCTACTTTGATGGACCTTCTCTCCATGAACATGAATTTCTCTTTCAATTGAGTTTCTTTTCAGCTTGATCTCCAACTCCTCAATCCTCTTTCTTGTATTTGGCAAACTCATCTTCCTCATGGCAGTTTTAATAAGCTCGTAAGACCAACACTCATCTTCAATTTCATCAATATGCTCTTCTCCTCTTCTTTGCCTTCACCTGATCCAGTTCACTTCCATGCCCTTCAATACCCTCTCCATTTTCATTAATATCTTGATCATCTACCACTTCTCTCTCTTCAAAAGCTTCGATTTTGCTTCTATGTATTTCAATACCCTCCTTGGTTCAATCACTACCCTGACCAACTGCCTCTTCACTGCCTTCACTTGCTGTAAACTACTTCCATGACTTTTTATACACCTTCCTCAAAATCACAATCAACTAACCAATATCAATCCATGGCCTTGGATCAGTTTTAAACTCTCTATGAACATCTCAATACCACAAAGTCTAACTTTAAATATTTTTCAGTTAATCATGAACTCGAGTTTATCAAAATCTAATCCACTCCTTCTAAGTTGGAATTCCCATCCCCCAAACTCATTTTTGGTTCATTTGATCCACATAACCATGATATTAAACCTCTAACTAAAATAAATGAAAGCATTTTACGAAAAGAAACCGAACCATGAAATTTACCTGCTACCAAATCCAAACACAATTTCTTCCTCCTACCACTTCCCTTCCCAAACCCAATACCAACTATTACTCCAAGTTCACACCTCCAACTCCCTGTATGTTGCGTGAAAGCTTAATTTTAGCAATCAGTATGCTTGCAATTAGATTAATGGACACCAGCAAGCGCCAAAATTTCACCAGACGATGAGTTGTCTTCACTTTGAGTTTTGTCATAAAACTGTTGGCCCGATATGTTTATCAGTTTGGAGGCCATATGATGAGCAATACCGAATCAGTTGCAGCGAAGTTACTGGTCACAGTAATGACAATGTGAAACATGTGTTAACAAACACGAATATGGGTTACTTTTATGGATTAACATTAGAATGATGGGATTGGACAATGAGATCGTCCTTAGTTAAGCGACATGTAAATTGGTTCATTTGGTATGGAGGACACAAACCGTTAAAATTCTAAATTATTTGGGTGAGTTTGTATTTAGTGTTTTCAAAATCGTGGTATATGAGTTTGGTGATTAAAATATCTAAATCCAAACGAACCGACCCACGTACACCCCTAGGAAGAGTTTCAAAACTTAGTATTTAACCGGACAAAAATGTTCAGAGAACAGTCTCTTATAGTTTGCACAAAGATATGATTGCTTCACTATAGTTCTGAAAATTAATGGTAATTTAAGGAGTGAGAAATAAGTTCATAAAAGGCTAAATAACTCAATGTCATAGTGAAATTTTATAGCGAGTGTCATCTGAGATTTGTGGGTAGTATAACAGTTGTGGTTATACACAAAATGCGTAGCGGGGTGGCACCAATTTCTACCACCTAGATTTTGGAATTAATTAAACTAATGACGGGCACAATTTGCTACTTTTGTCCTGTACAAACTGGTAACTTTTTCGTTTGATTAGTTCTAACTTCTAAATGCTAACTTAAAATTTAATAAAATCTTTAGAAAAAGAAGTTTGATAAAAGAAAGGTTCGAATTCGATAGATAGGATGGGCCCAGATCAATGTTTGTTGTTGGTCAATTAATATGTTAGGCATTTTTAGCAGTTAAGGGTCCAATTCCTGCGGCATTTGGGCGGGAAGACTAAAAATAATGGAGAAAATTGGACTAAAATGCCCCTAACGGAAATTAAGGAGAGGGCTGGAATTTTTGAATGGTGAAAAGGAAGAAAAACTCCACCATTAATTATTCTATGGACTTCTGCAATCTCCAGTCATCTCTCTTCCTTCATTTTCTCAATCTTTTCCTTATCTATATTCAACCAAATAAAAACAAAAAATCAATACCAAAACATAAAAATATTACCCCTACCACAACATATACCACTTATTAATTAATATCATTGCAGATTTAACTAATGCCAATACATGAAGATCATCTACCAATACAATAACATCGATACCAAAAAAGCAATATCATTACATGATAACAATACCAATGTGAAAAATAATGCCACTATGAAAAAATAGATAACAATATGAAAAATACATACCGATACGAAAAATCCAAATTTATAATCCGGCTGAGGGTTTGTGATGAATAGTTCTTCGTCAATCTCCTTCAGTAGGCTGACTTTCTTGAGACTCCTAAACTTAGTGGAAAAGGCAATGACAACGATGGTGTCACTGACCGCCGGTAAGAGCAGCATAACCGGTTTGCCCAATACCTTGATCGAGTAAGGACTTTGTTGAGAAAATAGAAATCGATAGTGGTAGTGAATGTGGTAACTGGCTTGATGTAGGTGATGGGGAGAGGGAGTGAGGTGGCACCGGGGAGAGAAGGAGTGAGAGGGAGGCGGGTGGGATATGTTAGGTTTTAAAGAGCAATAGTCACATGTGTTATCTTTTTCTTTTTCAAAACTATCATTATAGCAATTTTGACCATTAATCAAGAGGACTAATAACGAAAATGAAAGGTATAGAGTTCGGTAGCCACCATGACTACTAAAATAGTAGTTTCCATACTAACTCATCTCGTCCAGAACCCATCGTAACACAATCACAAAGAAGCATGCCTCGACTCCTTCGGACTTGCTTGCTTCTCCTAAAAAGTCTGCCGCGGTGAAACAAAAGAAGTGACTGTAAGAGTCCGGATCAAGTGACTAGGGGTCCTTAGTCACTTGAAGCCCCTTCTGCCCCTTATATCCAGATACACAAATCTAACGGATACAATATAAGGAATGACTTTTTAATTAGTGATAGGATTAGTTTTGGTATAATAAAAGATTTATTTTATTTCTATTTTTTCTCTCTCCTATAATTTTCTAGCGTTCTCCATTTTTTCACTAGTCCTCTTTTTATACATTTTACCTTATTTATACAAACCAAATGATAAAATTGTACAAACCATACAAACTACACAAACCAAATTTACAAACAATACAATACAAAACATAAAGACTATACCAGCTACATAAAAAAATACAAACTAGACTGATAAACCATACAAAGTATACAAACCAGATTTACAAACAAAAAATCTCATGAAAGCTTGTCTTGAGTTTATATGACAACTTCTAATACACTTCTCCGACATTGGATCTTATGTTTCTCACAAAATCTCCAAATTCTTCTCTTTATAGCTCCTTTGGTCCTCCAAAGTTCTCCAATGCTTGATCCAAACTTTCTTAAGTTGCTTTGTACCTTCAAAACTATGAAAACATACCCATGATCTTATAAGTTATTGTACTTTTGATCTATCAACAACCATTTAATAGGTGGCTGGTTAAGGATATGGTATCACCAACCATTTTGCCAATGATTGTTGAATTTTTCGTCTATCTGCAACGCTTTAACTCTTAGTTGCTTAAGGATAAGGTATCACCAATTATTTCACAAATGGTTGTCGAAGTTTTGATTTATCAACAACCATTTACCTCATTATTTCTTAAGAGTAGGCATCACCAACCATTTGGCATATGGTTGTTGGAGTTTTGATTTATAGACGACCAATTTCACTATTTGTTGCGCTAGAGTTGGGTATCAACAACCATTTTTGTGAATGGTTGACAAAAATTGAATATAAGCAACCATTTTTCTGTGGTCACCTGAAGTGGTAGTTGAAAACCTTTTTCTTGTAGTGACTCGTCATGTCACACTATTCCTCTTATTATTTTTCTACTGTTGTCTTAGTCTCAACATTGATACTAAACAGGACCTAAAGAAGTAAATTAACCGCATTTCTATTTCTGGTTGTCAACTCTCATAATTTCTAATAAATTTCCAACTAAACATTTTTCTTGTAGTGACTCGTCATGTCACACTATTCCTCTTATTATTTTTCTACTGTTGTCTTAGTCTCAACATTGATACTAAACATGACCTAAAGAAGTAAATTAACCGCATTTCTATTTCTGGTTGTCAACTCTCATAATTTCTAATAAATTTCCAACTAAACATATTTCTATTTTATATTTTCATGTTGTTTGTAATTGTGTCTCTGTTGCTATCTCTAATGCAACCACAACTACAACGAATTTATACTAATTGCTATCTCTAATACAACCACAACCACAACAAATTTAGGGTAAAAACAATATATTAGCCACAACTATTAAGTTCCGGGTAATTATAGCCACAACTATCAAAATACAAATTATTAGTCAAACGTTAACTCTTCGTTAGCAATTCCGTTAGTAATGCTGACTAAGCTTTATGATGCTGAGCTGGCTCCGACGTGACAATCACCAAATCATATTTTAATTTTAATTTTAAAAAATAAATTATTAAATAAAATAATTAAGAAAAGGAAAAAAATCTAAAAATTAAAAACCTCTTCTTCTTCCCCTGCTCGCTCTCCCTCCCCTACGCTTCCACCTTCCGACGAGCTCTAAAGAGCTTCTTCGACCCACAAACCCAGACCTTCATTCCTCCTTTTCACCCAAAATCCATCCTCTCATCTTGACCACATCCTCCTCTTCTTTCTCTTCTACCCTATGCCACCTTCAACTCTGCTCCACCACTCCCCACCATCGAAGATCTTTAGATCTCCTTCCGATCCAGATGCCCCCATCTCGTCTCTCTCTACCTCAAGCCTCCCACTAATCTTCCTCAATCGTTCCCGAGTTCTAGCGACATCACCATCACAATCGCTGAGTCGAACTCAAATGACCTAGCTTCAAAATTGTCATGAAATCGACGATCTATCCTCTTCCATGGAGAGAACAAAAAGTTGAGCTTGGTGGTGCCGCACCGCCGCCTAAGTCCGATAACCGAAACCCGACGCAGCCCTCGAACGGGAACCCGGCTTCCCCAGCTGCGAAGTCTGCTCCCGACCTGAAACGGGTTGGAAAACCCGGGAGCGGCGACATCTAGGCCGTAGGCCAGACTGGGGTTCATGGCTACGCCATTCTCTGGAGAGCCAGCACCAGATTTACATAGCCGCCATAGGCCAGATTGGAATCCCTCTGTTTGCTCCACCTCTTTCTCCTTCCCCTCGTCTCTGTCTCCAATCGCAGTTGGGGGTTTCAATTGATGAATTTGGGGTTGGAGGAGTGAAGAAGCGGGATTGAGGCTGAGGGATTCAATTGGGAGGAGGATGGAAGAAGCGGCGGCTAGGCGAAGGAGGAGGGAAGAAGGTCGAGAGGTGATGTTGCTGGGGAAGAAGAAGGGGAAAGTAGAGCTTTGACCCTCCATTTTTTTTATTTTTTATGTTTGAAATCTAAAAATAAAAATTAATCTGAAGTGGCTGCTGACGTGGCATTTTTCGTTACAAAGTTAATGATGGTAACAGATTGTTAGCCATTCATAAATGCGAACCAATAGTTATGGCTAATAATTTGTATTTTCATAGTTGTGGCCATAATTCCCCGGAACTTAATAGTTGTGGCTAATATATTGTTTTTACGCACAATTTTTTTTTTATAAATGGATGCAGAGCATCTCAACCTTCATTCATAACCAGACGGGGTTCGGAAAGCCCCAAAGTGTCATACAAAATCCAAGATACAAGGGTAGTGTCCGTAGTAGGAAACATGCTATAGCCCAATGGCATCTGATGACCCCGACTAGCAATATAGTCAGCACACTTATTACCTTCTCTATAGATATGAGTGAGGGAGACTTCCCAGTCCCTCTGCATTAATTCCTGGAAGCGATGGGAGACAGCTGTATGGCGATGATCATGATCCTGATGCCGTTGAAGAATTTCCACTGCACATCGCGAGTCAAGTTGAACATTGACCCTACGGTAGCCCAGCTCCCAGGCCAGCTGAAGTCCTTCCACAGCGCCTCTCAACTCTGCTCGGGTAATGGAACAAATCCCGAGGTTCATGGAGAACGCCGCAAAACAGCGTCCTAGATGATCTCTTATCAAGCCACCAGCAGCTGCATGGCCTGATTCTGGGAGTACGGAGCCGTCTGTGTTGAGAGTAACCCACTCGGGAAGAGGCGGCTGCCATGACCCATGACATCAGCTCCTCCATTCTGGCAGGTAAACAAGGCTGATGGATGGCCTTGTCATTGTCCATGGCTGTCTGCACTACATTAATCCAAGCTTGGACGCGCTGTAGGAAAGCTTCAGCTGAAACCACCTTGCCTGCAAAGACTCGGTCATTTCTAGTCGCCACAGGGACCAGCAGGTGATGCCAAACATTAGACTGGTGTTCTTATTTCTACGAAATTGTTCACACCTTTATTATTGCATCTTTCAACTTTCTTATTTCTATCATATCATTACTAGCGCGGGCTCTGGCCAGTGGTCGGAGGAAGGTGAGGTATGCAATTTGAGAATGTAATGGGGTGTATAGCTTATTGTTGTATATTTTTTTTGGGAAACACGTGATAAAGATAGTGAATTTTAGTAGGAAAGAGGCATGGATGATGCAACGAATCAAAAATCAGTCTTATGAACCAAGTTCGAGTACTTGTTACCTTGTGAAACAGTATTATTTCTGGTAATATGATGAGGTAGAGTAAGTTTTATAGAAACTGAATTCCAGAAAACCGAATAAAAAATCCCTTATAAAATACACTATAACTTAATCATTAGGATATCAAATAATTACATAATATATATTTGAAATTATAAAAATTGGACTAATCGGGTCGGTTGAGGTCGAACCATTTAATAAATTTAAAATACATTATATTTTAGCCACTAAGATATAAAATAATAGCATAATATATGTTATGCTAGAGAAAATTGCATGTTTTAGGATGTCAAACCCATAATGTTCATTTGTTTTACTTGAAACTGGATGGTCAAATCCCGTATGGGTCAGGCCTATTCAACTCTTTTATTCTATGGTTAGCGGTTAGCCCATTAGAATCCATGCATTAGTTTATTGTTAATTTTTTTCTTTTTAGCAATAAAAAACGAGTGTTATTTTTGCCCTTTCATATATATCTTACCAACACCGAGAAATCAAAGGGCTTAAAGAAAACCCTATATCCCCTAGGAAAAGCTGCTTAGTGCTCACCGGCTCATGGTTCACTTCTCTCGATCTCAATTATATTGCCGCCGGTAGCCACTTCTCCCCATCCTTGTTTTCCTGTCCTTAATTTTAGCTCTGCAAATATTTTCCCTGCATGTCATCCTCCCCCGAACCTCAATTTCCACCCCATCTCGATCTCTGTTTTTCATTTCTTAATCTTCCCTTCTCTTATCACTTGTTTAAACCCCCTCTTGTCTATCTTCGATGCTAGTTTAACGAAGAAGAAGAGAAAGCCACCAATTTTCAATAATACTATATTGTCACAGTGAAGTGATATTGTGGATTTATTTGTCACTTATCTGTTAGAGCTTGCAAATAATGGAAAAAGGGGTGGTTGATTATGATTTGATTAGATGACTCAATCTATAAATTTTACTTGCATGCAATTGACCACCGTTCTTCATGAGCATGACTGGATCTTTTTAGTATGCTTGGATTTCTTTTCATAGGGAAGGGATTAGGCGATTAGCACACGGAAGAAGGATTGGGGAAATTATTTTGTAAACAATTATGAAGCTCTCTTTCTTTAATTATATCATTTATTCTCGGCGTCAGTGGAGTCCAGATCCAGTATCGGAACAATCCATGACTCGGTTACGGTGATCGTTATGGAGGCATGAAACAGATGCGGACGTGGCTGAAACCTATTATGTTTTTGTGGGCCGCAACAATCCCTGGGCCCGTTCAAGTCCGCACGTGTACGGTATGTTGTCCCGTTCCACAGAGAAAAGAGAAAAAAATTTACACTCCCTATTATACTCTTCCTACAAACGCTCATGGGGCAGGAAATTTGAAATGGGGGAAGGGTTTTTCCTTACTGCTATTATATTATGTGTAGATTGTAGTAATTAGAACCCCGCTTTTAAATATGGAAGCAAGCAACCACTATCACAAAACATCATATTGTAAAAACTTATATGCAATCATAAGGTTGTTTCACTCAAAATAAAATATGTTTTGTATGTTGAAGATCAGCATTATAGTTTGAATAGTTCAATTCGGCAATGATCTCAGCTCTTACATATAAATTTTGTGCAATAGTGCTATGATTGAATATATTCCCTATGTTCACACTAATTATAATAGTCTTTGTTTACTGGAAACTAACCACCAAAACATTTCAAATCAGAAAAATGATGATACTGAAATGGAGTACCATAACAAAAGCAACAAAAAGTATAGTTATTTATCTTTAATCAACTCAAAAGTCAACCTAGAAGATCAACCAAATGAACAGATATTAAGAGATCATACATTACTATCAAAGAAACTAAATAACTCATCAGTCATCTCTCCAAGCAAGAACACTCAACCTTTACATATATACCCCTCTGAAAATTGCTTTGTCTAACAATATAGGTGGAGGAGGTTAGGTGGTTGTCGAGTCCGATGGGAAGGTTTGGAGAGATGGTGATGGTTGAGCCTTTAGTAGGACTGGAGCCAGGGACACTGTTTATCTTTAATCAAGTTAAAAGTCAACCTAGAAGATCAACCAAATGGACTGATGTTAAGAGATCACACATTACTGTCAAAGAAACTAAATAACCCACCAATAAGCTCTCCAAGCAAGAACACTCAATCTTTCCATATTTATCCCTCCGAAAATTGCTTTGCGTAACAATATAGGTGGAGGAGGTTAGGCGGTTGTCGAGTCCGGTGGGATGGTTTGGAGAGATGGCGATGGTTGAGCGTTTAGTATGTAGGTCGGGACACCATTTAGACATATTTACATTAGTTGCGGCTTTTCAATCCGCATTCGACAAACCAACATCAGTTAACCTTTCCACATTTACCCCTCTCTTAAATACAAATGTGCCACATATTCACTCAAAACTTCTATGTTCAAAAATATCGTTGCTTTTCGGTAGTTATATTATTTAATTCTATGTCAAGAATTCTGCATCGTTTATACACATTCAATATTGCAATTCTATGTGCAATTTTTGCACCAATGACATTAGGCTTGCGATTTTAAAATTATTCTCCTTTTATAAGATAAAGAAAAATAGAATTAATTGTTAAACTCGAATTAAAATAATCAAAGTATGAAAATAGAAGTATCAAATATAAAAAAAAATATTTAGGGGAGAGTTAGTGGCTTAGCTAACTATGATGGAAAATTCCAATGATTTTTCATATTTAAGCTTCATGTATGTTGTTCATTTAAAAAGTTTAAACAAATTTGTTTAGTGTAACTAGTTATGTTTTTTGTCTTTTCTCAAAGAGATCAAAATTAAAATCCCATAAGTTATGTATTTTTCCTGTAAATAAGAAAATAATAAATGAATGTGAAGACGAATCTACCCTTCCTACTTTTGCTATGGATGCAAGGATTTTGTAATGTGGGAAGCACATTTCCCATTTCACTCTTTATTAGGTGTAGCGAAAGTAACCTGGTGGTTGAGTGTTTAGTGGGTCAGACACTATCTGGGCCGCAAACATTAGTAACATTTTTACCATTTGCGTTGGGCAAACCAACAACAGTCAATATTTTCATATTTACCCCTCCAAAAATTGCTCTGGCTTAACAATAGAGGTAGAGGAGGTTAGCCAGTAGTTGAGTCTGATGAGAAGTTTGGAGAGACGGTGATGGTTGACTATTTAGTGGGTCGGGGCACTATTTGGGCCCGTTTACATTAGTAGTGTCTTTTCCATCCGCGTTTGGCAAACCAACATCACTCAACCTTTCCATATTTACCCCTCTTTTAAAGACACATGTGCCCCATATTCACTCAAAAGTTTTGTGTTTAAAAATATCGTTACTTTATGATTGTTATAACAATTAAGTCTATGTTAAAAATTCTGCATCGCTTCTACACATTCAAGAGTGCAATTCGATATATGCAATATTTGAATCAATGACATTTCGGTTGCTAATCGTGGTGGAAAAGTCTTATATTTTTCAGATTTAAACTTCCTGTATGTTTTTATTTGAAAAATATCACACAAATGTGTTTATTGTAACTGGTTATGTTTCTCATCTTTATTTGAAGAGACCACGGTTCAAATCTCATACTGATTATTTGTTCTGTAAATAAGAAAATAATAAGTGATTGTGAAGGCGAATTTAACATTTTTACTTTCACTCTGGATGCAGGAAATTTGAAATGGGATTTCAAGTTTTCTTATTTGTCTTTTATTTACTAGCTTTACACCCGGCCAGTTGGCCGGAGTACGAATTATAGTTAAGATTTAAAACATTAAAACTCTCTATTTTAGAGTAAGATGTATAAATATTACAAAATATGTATGGATCAATTATATATATCTAAATTAATAACTCTAGTTATATTGGTTGGTATTAACTGGTATAATACCCGTTGAATATATTTGAAAATGTTTATACAAGTAAATATCAATGCCCAATATCACCTCAAGTACAATGTTTCATGAATACCTCTTATGCGGTTTCACAAACAATAAGTTAAATATATTTTATTATTTATATTAATCGATATAATGTATTCCAGATCTCTATAATTTGAATTTTCCACTCCCTTTATAAAGTATTAATTGTCTACCGTAGGATCTCAATGTGTTTTTATCAGCCCTTGACTAATTATGTGCTGATTACCAAAACCAAGACATTAAGGCCAACAGATAATTCTTAGTATTGTTTCACAAATGATCTCAACTTGTAATCTAGTTTAGTTAGTAGCATTGTTCTAGTTGAATGTGACCGATGATCATAACCATGGTCCATGTATGCAAAATGGTAAAAAATGTTATTATTTAAAAAATATAAAAATAGATATCATTGTGTAGATAATAAAAAAAATAATTTTTTTGTGTAAAAGTTTCAAAATTTGGAATTTGACTTAAAAAGATACAAATAAATTGAAAATAATAGGGTATTTGGAGTTAGATGAAAGAGAAAATACCACGTGTCATGATTTGGCCGGAAGATTGCAAAAAAGAAAAATAAATAAGAAAGCAAACT